ATAATTTTCAGTTTTTTGAATACTAAATCGCAAAGTTAAAAGAAAAGCACCCTTCTTACTTCTAACCAACCACCTGGTTTTAATACTCTAAGGACCTCAAATAAAAATCCTTGAAAATTATCCTTTGTAAAAAAATTTGTTTTATTTCTAGAAAAAATATAATCAAATTCATTATCAGGAAATGGTAGTTTTTGATTAATATCATAATTAATAAATGTAATATTTTCAATAGAATTTTTCGTTATAAAATCAACTGCGTAGAACTTCGAATTTGGATACTCAGCGGCAACCTAATTTAAAGTAAAATTAGTTACTATAGTATTACTCAAAAGTTTCAAGTTCATAAAATGGAAATAAGTTAAATTACTTCAATAGTCCAAATGCCAGTCCCACAACTTTTTAAGTATTGACACAAATAAGATAATTTTTTGTTATTAGAAGTTTACAGAAAATAATAATATTCAAAATAAAAAAGAAATTCTTTTACCCAAATTCTAATACTTTAGCACCAGTTCGCAGTTTTTCATGAACTGGAGCAGCTATACTGCCATTAAACGCATGATCATAAAGCTGATGTTCGTAAAATGCAAAGTTTTCAAATTCACTTATATCCTTGATTGGTGTATAAAATATTTTTTTATTCTTTTTAACATGTGAATAATGATTCATTATGAAAAATTTTAGCTCTTTATTATTTTATAAAGATGAAAATAAATAACCCAATGCATTTTATTAATTTTTAAAACTCGATACGATTAATTATGGTTCCAAAAAAGGTGTGACAGGTTATCGACAATGAAAAAAATTCCACTCATTAGCTTATATGGACGATTTAACCAATTAGTCTAACCTGTCCCACATTTCGGTCTTGCCAAAAAAAGCATCATAAAAATGGCAGCATTATTCCGGAAAACAAATTTCAAATAACGCCTGTTATTTTCCGATCGTTTTTTTTTTTTTACTGATTACAGCTGTTCGTTTTCCGAAATCTCATTGGTTTCGTCCGAAAGGTCACCTAACTTTTCGGGAAATTACATCAACATCTCGAAACTGAGTTCCATGATTTCCGAAGAGTTAGGTGTCATTTAGGACGAAACTGAAGAGAGTTCAAGAAACGAACAAATTTTTTGTTTGTTACAGAATTTATGAGAACAGCTGTGATCTCCCACTACGGATAAATATTTCGGCATTTGAGCGTCTAAAATGACCTCTTATTTCCGCTGTTTCAAGAAAGAAACAGTAATAACCAAACGTTTTTAGCTGAGGTTTGCCTTTAGAGTACGTATTCTAATCATTTTCATATCTAATTTTCAATCGAGATGTAATATAAATATAATTTTAATTTCACAAACCAACGAATTTACAAAGCCTTGTCAAAATATAAACCCGGTTTTAAAATATGTATAGACCAGAAAATAGTTTAAACCTAATTTATGATCAATATAGTAATTTACCGATACTCTAACGATATTAGTTGTATCTCCGAATCGACTAAATTTTCTAATCGACTAGTTAAATCGACTTTTGCAAATTGGTAGTCACGTTAATTAATTTGATTGGCTAAATTTACGCACATGATTAATTCGTATGCAGATCAAAAAAAAAAAAAAGAAATCGGATTTCATTAACATTTTTTTTTGCAGAAATAGAAATTGTAGATTCATTATTTTGTAACATATTTGATTTAGCATCTTTTGTAGAAATATAATTTGCACGTTCAATGTTGTAAAGAACTTTAATTGTGTATATTAAATTTGTTTCTCTTTTAGCCCGATAAAATTTACTATTGCATGATGAGCTAGAAGAAAATTTAAAAGTTGCACCAAATTTAATCTTATAAGAATTATTCGATTCTAGAAAATTAATTTGTTTATTACTAATAGAATCATGAAATTTCAAAGTAAAAGTATAAGGAACTTTAGTACGATTTTTTTTTTGTTGGAATATATTTTTTCCTGGTTACAATAAGGTTTAAAAGTTGCACAAAAAGACATCCAAAGCATGTTCCGGGATAATAATTTTTTGACCATTAGAACCGATTTTTTTAAAAAAAATGTATACTAAATAAATATGTATACAATATGTTGTGCCTCAAACTAACGCTTGCCTCAAATCACAGCTGACGCATCTCAGATGCGGTCATTAAGCGCAGAAAAAAGAAAATTATATGTATAGAATAAAAAATATGTATACATTATTGGGCAAAAATTGTTGAATAACGTGTTATCCGACAATTTATGGTAGGGAGTCACTCGCTGAGTTTTTTAATTTGAATATTAGAATAAACATAATTACATCGTAACACATGAAAAAAAATAACGAAAAGTAAGTTTTTCATGATCATATGAATTTGTCAGATAATATTGAGTATTGAACGTGCTGAGAAGACTTAAACAGGAAGAATACCGTAAAGTCCCGAATATAAGCAACCCCTTAGATTTTAACACTAAAATATAAAAAGTAATATAAGCAACCAACCCTATAAGTAAAATAAAATTAAGAGTAATTTTTATTAATATTGGCTAATAGAATTAAGTATTTCAAAAGTTACTGAAATTAAGCAACCCTTCTAAAAAAAATCAGCAAAAATGGGTGGCTTAGAGGGTTGCTTATATTCGGGCAAAAAAAACTGTACGTATAGAAAAAAAAGTACATATTAATTAATAGAAAATTCGGGCAAAGAAATTCAACGGAGGTGCTAAAAAGACTTGTTGTATAAAAACTCTATTGTTGATGGTAAAATGTCAAAGAGATTCAAGGATGCTACTAGAGGTCAGATGACGCCAAAATGATTCAAAAATAGAATGTTACTGGAGTTAAGAAAGATGCAAAGTTGAAATAAAGAATGCTACCAGTAAGAAAAATGCCGAAGAGATTCAAGAAAGCAAGAATAAAAAAAGAGTCCAAGTCAAAAGTCTTTATTCAATTTATTTTTTACTTTCTTACTTTCGTCAGATTGCAGATAGATCAATAGTTTACACACCTCACCTGATCCGAGATGCGTCAGCTGTTATCTGAGGCAAGCGTTAACTACCCCAGGATCGCCACCAAAATTTTTACGTTCACGTGATTTTTTGTGCCGCAAGCCAATCAGATCCCAAGATCAGGTGTAACATAACACGATCAGGAATATCAAAACAAACATTAGTTTCGTTAAAAATCGTTAAAAATCGCTTATAACTCAAAAATCTGCATAGAAAACCACCTTTAGTGCAATAACAAAAAGTTTTCCTTGAGCGATTTTACTATTAAAACTTATCCAACCCTAACTCTAACATAGACCCTAACCCTAACCTAAACGAATTTAAAGATTATATCCTGGGCAGTTGGGTATAAGCGGGGATGAAATTCCTGCTTATACACATAGTCATCAGGAAATATTTTTGATGCAAATTTGCACAAATTTTCAAGCAAAATATATATATGAAAATTTCTGCAAATTAGCTAAGGCCACGCAAAATTGATTTTTCGTTTTGCATTACCCGCTGTCCCATTTTTTCAATTTTTCAAAAAAAATTTTTTTTTTTTTTAGATCCCAATTATGCCAATTGTTCGATTTTTGACTACAGGTAGGACCGTCCCAAATAAAGAAATGATGATCCCGATCATGCATGTTTAGTTTAGCCAATCAAAATTGTAA